CCAAGCCCAGGGGGCTTGGGGTTCAAATGCCCCTGAGTTTTGCTTGCTCTCAGCCATATGGCAACAGGAACAAGTTACGGAAAACTCTCCCATTTCTATAAAGTGGGCATGAAACCAAGACCCTCCCACTGGAAATGAAAGTGGGAAGTTAACTATACATTACCTCCGCCCAGGTATTATCTCGTGCTAGGAAGTAGTTATTACCAACAACTAGGAAAAAACTGCCTTAATGGTCACGGTATTTCCCCTATTGATGAGGACCTACCACAAAGATACGTTAGTACAGCTCATTGGCAATGCCCATTAAGTGCAGTCCCCCACAACACCAACATTTTTCAAGTCAAGGTGAGCTACTACACTGCATTCACTTTGACTTTTTTACTCCATTAATGGAGCTGTGCCTTTCTTTCTCATCTCCAGTGATTCCTGTTTCTTCACAAGTCTTAAAATGTCTGGCAAACACCACCATATTGGGTGCCAAGCAGTTCACCCAGAATCCCTCTGCTGCCCTCTCTCTCAGCTTGTTGCATTTGATTAGTATGGCCCTCCCCACCACAAGGCAGAGCTGGACCAGGTTGCACTGCACCTAATCTGAATATACATTTTTGGAGAATCCCAGGACTCATGACAAGAAAACCTGGTTCCAGTCATGAGTGGGGGGCTAATTAGCACATGGGCCCTTTTGGGGGAAGGGGCTGGTAATCTGGAGTAAACATACATACTAACAATCAGTGCTGAGCTGTGGGGCCACCATGGCTTGAAATGCTGTCGACTCTGCTGGGGCCCAGCCCAATTAACTATATGGTAAATAAGGGGCCTTTGAGCTTTAGACTAATAGGACTGAGAAAAAATAGACAGAGATAGAGGAGGGAGGACAGGAAAAGGGCACATGGACATGCAGGACCATGAGTACATGGTGTAGATATTGTGATGGGAAAGTATGATGTAATTGCAATGATGTGCTTTGGACTATCAAATGAGCCATAGCAGCCATGAGGCAGGCTGGCAGAGGTACTGTAATATGTATATACACACACATATATATGTATGCATGTATTTTTGCCAAAAAAAAAGTTTATACTATATATAAGTAAGAGCCAAAGACATACTTAAACTTGTATTTATGGAGTACCTGTGCTAAAACTTGCAGCAGTTTCAAAGAAGATAAAAAGCATCAATTCTGTGTGAACTAAGTCTATGGGTACATATACAAAATGCTACAGCTTTGTTTATTTCTAGGTCATTGTTTTCAAATTTGCTCCTCACTTCCATGTTCTCAGGGAGAGCAAGTCTGATAGTAGAGAGGGGAGGGAAGGAGTTGCAGGGGGAAGAAGTTGTGGGGGAGGAGGCACAGAGGGCAAAGGGGTTACCTGATCCCCCAGATTTTTCCTGCTGCAGCAGTGGGAAGGGGACAGAAACCTCCAATAATCTGATTCTGGCCTGGAAAATTGTATCAAATTTCTAAATTTTACATATATAGAATCTAATTATTGGGGAGTCATCTTATAATCAGGGTCATCTTATATTCAAGTAAATACAGTAAATAGGAACATCAGTTGAAGGCAGCAAGATAAGCACCTATAGGTCCCTGATTCTTTGTCCAGACCCAGGTACAAGTTATAGCAGCCCAGGCACCATACTAGAATGCAATAGCTGGCATTGTCCCCTCAGCCCCTGCCAAAAGATCATAAATCAGCCAAGGTGGATGCAACAGCTCACCCACAGTACTTCCTTGATCCTAAAACTATGAAGAGGGAGGCAGAAAATGGCATTCCCAAGCAAGATATTTAGGGCAAATAGGAAAGTCTGATAAATTGTCTCTGTATTACTTTTACACTAAACATGGGTCTTAATAAATAGCCACAACTAATTTTTAAATATCATAAATACATCAGAACCACAGAATTGAGAATAACCATTTTACCTGATTTTTTTAAACAAAATTAAAATGTGTCTTCTGAAAATGGATTTCACTTCAAAGTGTTTTGAAAAGCAGATTGCCAAATATCTGAAAAATGGATTTTATAATGGAAATGACAACAGAACCATTACTACTGCAACACTTCCAAGCTTCTATGCCAATAATATCTCTCTCCTTCATGCAGTTCTGGAGTCAGGATTTCAAGACTTAACTACTACAGCAGACTCAATTGCCTCTGAATTTGAGGTGGATGTGTGGAAATCCTAATTCATATCCTTAAAGAGATAAATATAAAGAGTTTAGAGGAAAGAAAAATAGATTTCCTACCTGTATGTTCTGGAGAGACATATGTTTACTTGGAAACTGATCTCCTGTGGTGCTGAGTGCCCAAGTTCCAGGTCTTACAGGATATCAAAAGCTGGCAAGCCCTCTACCCTCTAGGGAATTTTTAAAGAAATGAAGTAAAAGGGCTACTATCACGAATACAGGGAAAAGCACAGAAGAGATGAAGAGGGTACCCTATCAAAGCTTATCATATTTAAATACTTGTAAAAACAATACTTGGCTATATTTCAAGACTGCTAAATACACATCTAAGAGAAGAATTCAGAGCTGTCTGTAGTGTCTGATTTTACCTGCCACTGAAAGGAATGAAACCATCTCTTAATGAGGGTATTTTGTTTCTTCAGGGTTCTACTATCATGATGCTTTTCTAAAGGAATCCAATTATAGTTTCATAGTTTCAGGGTCAGAAGGGACCTAATAGATCTTCTAGCCCGACCCCCCGCCAGGGCGGGAGAACAACCCAAAAAAAAAACAACACCCTAAAAACAAAAACGGGACTCAAATGAGTCCAGCCAGGTAAGTATCCAGCCTCTTCTTAAAGATCCCCAGGGTAGGGGCCAGCACCACCTCCCTTGGAAGTTGGTTCCAGCTCCTAGCCGCCCTAACTGTGAAGTAGTTTTTTCGGATGTCCAATCTGTACCTCCTCTCCATCAACTTGTGCCCATTACTCCTTGTTATGCCAGCGGGGGCTAGGGGAAACAGCGTCTCCCCCAAACCCCTCTGGTTCCCCCTAGTGAGTTTATAGACGGTCACCAGGTCCCCCCTCAGCCTTCTCTTGTGGAGGCTGAATAGGTTCAGGTCCCGCAGTCTCTCACTGTAGGGTCTGCCCTGTTGTCCCCGGATCATGCGGGTGGCCCTCCTCTGGACCCTCTCCATGTTGTCCACATCCCTCCTGAAATGGGGCACACAGAACTGGACACAATACTCCAGCTGCGGTCTGACCAGCGTCGCATAGAGGGGGAGGATCACCTCCCTGACTCTACTCGAGATGCACCTGTGGATGCACGACAAGGTCCTGTTAGCCCTGCCAACCATGACCTCGCATTGTCGGCCCATGTTCATCTTGGAGTCAATAATGACACCAAGATCCCTTTCCGCCTCCGTGCTCTCAAGTAGGGAGTTCCCCATCGTATAAGTGTGCTGCTGGTTCCTACTACCCAAGTGCAGCACCCTGCACTTGTCCGTATTGAAACACATCCTGTTCCTGTTTGCCCACCCCTGTAACCTATCCAGATCCTTCTGCAATCTCTCTCTCCCTGCTAGCGTGCTCACCTCCCCCCAAATTTTGGTGTCATCAGCGAATTTAAACAGGTTGCTTTCCACCCCAACATCAAGATCGCTGATGAAGAAATTGAACAGCGCAGGCCTCAGGACCGAGCCCTGGGGGACTCCACTACCCACCTCCCCCCAAGTCGAGTATGATCCATCCACCACCACCCTCTGAGTGCGACCCTTCAGCCAATCTGCAATCCATCTGACCGTGTAGGCATCTATGCCACAGTCGCCTAGTTTATTAATTAGGATGGGGTGAGAGACGGTGTCAAAGGCCTTGCTGAAGTCCAGAAAGACTACATCCACCGCGACACCTGCGTCCATGGCCTTTGTGACCTGATCATAAAAGGCGATCAGGTTGGTCTGACATGATCTCCCCCTAATAAATCCATGCTGATTGCCCCTGAGCATCATTTCTGATGCTGGCCCATCACAAATGTGCTCCTTGATGATCTTCTCAAAGAGTTTCCCCAGGATTGAGGTAAGACTGATGGGCCTATAGTTGCCCGGGTCCTCCCTTTTCCCTTTCTTGAAGATGGGGACCACATTAGCTACCTTCCAATCGTCTGGCACCTTTCAATTATAATTGAATACTTTTTCGTTTTACATTTAGGTGACTGGTTAATGTTTAGTCAAGCAATAAAAACTGTTACCCAGCCTTGGTAAATAATTCTGCCGAAGGGATTCTACTAATCAGATAGAGATTTGGGTACTGCTTAACATTGGCACTTTTACTACCCTGTGCTGCTGGCACTGACAATTCAAAGCAGAGGCATAGCAGTACAGCTCCTCACCCAGGGCAGCACTTTCTCCTGCTACACTGACTGCAGCAGTGCAATCAGCCAGTGCTGTGGCATTGGCTGCTTTTGTGCCTCCCACACACACATACACACAGGCAGCACCTAGGGATGAGGCCTCAGGCACCCATCGCTGTTAAGCTACTGACTCAAAGTCATGCAGTGCACTCACTAACTGAAGTCCGCTTAAAATTGTTCTGAGTTCCATTTGGTTAGATTTCCAGGAAAAAACATGGAATGTGAAATACCTAAAAGAAAATGATTTATATTCATGCAAAAAAGTGGACTGCGTCAAATGCAATTGTGAACATATACATACCTACCATCAAGATTCAAACATTTTGTTACATGTAAATGCACTCAGTTGCTCAGGTTCCAAACCATGCCCACTGTATACATAAATACGATCAGGAAGTTCATTCCAAAGGCACTCAATGTGCTTCAACTATTCTAAACAGAACGCTTAGCAAAGTTCAAAGGCGGCCCAAATGGGAGCTCATGTGCAAACAAAATCTGAAGACCAAACTGGTAACAGCAAAAAGAACTGGACATAATTTTGTCAGCTTTTATCTAAGGCCTAGCAACAATGCACAAAAAGGCAGGTTTGTGCATAAAAGAAGTAGCTACTATCATTGGCCAAAAAAAGTTGATAAAGTATTACATACACATTTATCTTCTGATCCACTGGCAATGAAGCGTCCACAGGGAGAGACTGCAATTCCACATGGGTGGCAGCGATTAACATGTCCTTCAAAACGACGCTCGCACCTTCAGTAAAATGAAAAGAAACCCAATTAATGTTAACTGAATAGTAGCTCTACAAACCATCTTGAGATCTGACAGTTGTAATAATTTATTTTTGTGAAGGTTCACTGAATTCTGATCAGTATCAGAATCTACCCAGACAAGGCTCTAGGTTAAGTTTCGAATACCACTCAGGCAGGAACATTGTGATAAGACTTTGATTAAAGGAAAGCAATGATCTACTAAAAATAAGAGTAAAAACTTTAGGAGTTAGAATGTAAAGTTGTAAAGAATGTTCCTTGATATTTTTTCTCCTAGGAAGTAACATGCATAAATTTCAATTTGTGATAACCTGAGATAGATTGTTTTGGCCTCAGCATACAAACTAATTTGCTTCTCAAAAGCAGTGCTTAAATTTTACACTGATGACGATGAAAGCTACTCAAGGTTCCAAATTAATTGGAGCCAAGAAGGGCTGGACTGAGCTAGCAGGTGTTTTGTTTTCTCTTCGGGCTACTCCCTCGCAGCAACTTCTAAAACAGTGATGAGCAGCCACTTTGATCTGCTGCCAGTCTGTTCTGTCTATAGTTGTGCAGGAAGGAAAAAGTACTCTTTCTGAATAATTCTTAACAAACTGAACCTTCAGATACTTTCAAAAGCAAAATAATGGGAAAGAACAGAACCACTACCATTATTCCCTGGCCTATACCATATGGGATGGGGAAATAAAGGATTGGTTTAAATGAACCTAATTACAATTTCCACTCATTCATTTTCATTTAGAATACAACACTCAAGAAGCATGAAGGAGACTTCTACTTGACAACTTTTATCATCCAACTTCTAGGAGGCCAAAGGCCTCCCACCCTCAAGCTCCTTCAGAACAAGACATGGCCCCCTCCAGGTTGCCCGCCAGATGGACATCCCATCATACCACTGCTCCATGCACCCCTCTTCTCTCAACACTGCACTGCATGCCCACAATGGAACAATTTCAAGAACGGAATGGAGAGTGCACTCCTCTATCCTAGCCTATGCCTACTGCTAAGGACACTCTCCTAGAAGATGTATATTTGAATACACTCTCCACCGCCCCCACCCCATAACTGACGAGGGCACTAAACACAGTCTCTTCCTTCTTAGACAACTGGTCTAACAACTAGATTATATAAAAGCCAGGCACTTCCTCCTGTTTCAGTCAATCATAAGAAGAAAGTAATCCCAACCACACTTTGCAAGAGGCCCTGTCCAGATGGTATTTAATATGCTCAGAGTACTTCCTTGTTTGGATCCCTCAGATGACAGGAACCATTCTGTCTACTTTATGAATTACAATGAGATTAGGCCAGAGCTAGGCCAGATGCTCAGTCCAAGGAAGTGGTGGAGATGTGAGGAAACAGAACTGCAGGTACCTAGGGACCTTTCAGGACAAACAGGCAGGGTGCCTTGTGAGTTGAGGTGAATCTAAGGGGAAGAAGTCAAGTAGCATGGAATAGGATTATACTTAAATGTCTAATAGAAGAGAAAGGGTCTTGCTCCTTGATGATTCTATGGGCAGGCTTGCTATATTGCACATGCTTTAAATCCAACAGATAAAGCAAAAGTAAGAGAGCTTAAAATATCTCCAGTACAGCCATATTTATTGAAGGTACTCCAATAGTCTAGTCATACTGATGACTATTTAAATAGTATACTGCTAAATTTATGTGTCTACTATCCCATTATGTAGTCATTGATTATACCACATAATTTGGCAGCAGGAAAGGACTAACTGGTACACAGCCATGACCTCTGTGTCCAATGGGGGGCTTTCACCCCAAAGTCCCGCCCCTATCTGTGGTAGAGGCTTGTCTCTATCGTTCAAGGTGTCGTCAATCTCTGAAGCTCATCACCTGTCTGAGCATTTTTTTTCTTTTTTCCTTTCTTACTCTATCTTTGACACAAAGACAGTTTTAGCACCTCGGCTAATGAGCCGAAGTCCACCGCGATATCTTGCTGGCCTCTCCCACACGTCCAAGATCTCACCTGCCACAACTTGTTGTTACAGGAGAAAATAGAATGCCAGGGCGTGTGGGTCTTGATGCTTTGGCTCTTGCAATTTGTCTTAGTGCAGTGAGGGCTCCACCAACCCCTACACCCTCGCCCGTTCCACCGGGTGGTAATTCAGTCATCTCCGCAATCTGCCTTTGAGCAGTACAAAATGCTCCTTGGGTCTCTAGATCTGGCCAATCAATATCCCCGATGAGCCTGGTTGTATTTCACCTGGCTGGAACCTGGCACAGACCTGCCATTAATCCTAGCCAGTCCTTTTCCTTGCCTATTGTCCTGACAGTTGCAAACGCACTATCTGGGGAGACTTTCCTCTCACCCTAACAAAAAGGAGAACAAAAACAAACTGGCATTTCTTCTTCCCTTATATTCCCAACTTTGCAGTACCCTTTTTCTTCAGTCTTGCTATTAGGGTCTTTACGGTACCTTCTAACTTCTCTCCTGGGTTTCCTTCAGGGTTCTCTCCCCTGGCAGCTCCCTTCACAGAGTTGCTTTCCTTAAGCCCAGTCTCCCTTGCTTCCTCTGCGCCTCCGGCTCTCCCTGCCATCTCGCTGCCTTAGTCAGTCACTTCCGGTTTCCTGTGTCCCCCTTTTGCCTGCCCAGCATCTCCTTTTATCCTGGAGTTTCGGCTACCTCCCCCTCCCCTCCTGAAACACCGGGTAAAGAAGGAGCCCTGCGGAGTTCTTTGCAATACAGGTGGGGCCATTTTACTACTCTGGGGCTCTTCTCTCTCCTCACACTCTGTACAGATCCATGGCCTTTCACAGAATTCAGATTAATATAAAATACTGTCATAGGATCAAAGGAAAGTAGGTCTTGAAGGAACTTCACAGGTTCTTCTAGTCCAGGCTCTGGCTCAAGGCTAGGTTGTCCCTGACTAAACCCTCCCAGCAGTGTCTATCCAACCTGCCCTAGAAAATGTGCAGTTCCACAGTTTTTCTGGGTAGCAGGCTCCAGTGCTTGACACCTGCATAGTCAGAAAGTTCCTCCAAATCTCCAAACTAGATTTCCCCCGCTGGTAGCCCTAGTCCTGTCTTTTAAGGCCACAGAGAAAATCCCATCTCCATCCCCTCTATAATCATCCTTCAGGTATTTGAAGGCTGTTATCCAATCTACTCTCAGTCTTCTCTTTTCCAGACTAAATATTCCTAGTTCTTCCAGCCCTACCTCATAAGTCTTGCTTCTCTGGTCCCTAATAATTTTTGCTGCTATCCACTGGATTCTTTCCAATCTGTCCATGTCCTTCTTGAAGGCCAAAACTGAGCACAGTACTCCAAGTGAGGCCTCACCAGTGCCAAACAGATTTCATAGATTTCATTGGCACTGGGGCTGGAAGGGACCTCACGAAATCAGGTCTAGCCCCCTGCCCAAAGGGTAGGAACTCAGCTGAGATCACCCAGCAAGATAAGCATCCAAGCATTTCTTAAAGGTATCCAGAGTAGGTGCTTGCACTACTTCTGGGGGAAGTCTATTCCAGACTCTGGAGACTCAGACAGTAAAGAAGTTTTTCCTTTTGTCCAGCCTAAAACAGTCTTTCAGCAGTTTGTAACCATTGGTCTTCATCTTCCCATGGGGTGCTCTACTGAACACATGTTCTCCCAGTTCCTGATGCAGACCCCTTATATATTTACAGGCTACCACCACGTCACCCCAGAGCCTTCGCTTCTCCATGCTGAAAAGTCCCATTCTTCTCAGCCTCTCCTCATAAGGCCTGTTCTCTTGACCTCTCATCACACACACAGCTCTCCTCTGGGCTCTCTCAAGCTTTTCCACATTCTTTCTAAAGTGTGGAGCCCAGAATTGGAGGCAGTATTCCAGCTGCAGTCTCACTAAGGCTGAGCCCAATAAGACTATCATGAGAGACAAATGTCATAAACCTTGCTAAAGTCAAGGTCTACCACATCGACAGAACCTGTCACCTTATCATAGAAAGAAATTAGGTTGTTCAGGCATGACTTGCTCTTGGTGAATCCATACTGGCTGTTCCTGATTACCTTGTTCTTCACTAGGTGCTTCACCGTAGGCTCTTTGAGAACCTTCTCCATGACCTATCCAGGTACTAAAGACAGGCTGACTGGTCTGTAATCTCCCAGATCCTCCTTCTTCCCTTTCTTATAGATGTGCCATATATTTGCCCTTTTTTCATCATTTAGGATCTCACCTGAATTCCAAAAATTCTTAAAGAGAATACCCAATAGCTCTGAAATTACCTCAGCCAATTCCTTCAGTACCCTAGGGTGCATCCCATCTGGCGCTGCTGACTTGAAAGCATCTAGTTTCTCTGAGTAATCTCTAACGGGTTCTTCTGCTGTTCTAGGCTGTTTGTCTCCTTCCCCATCTTTGCTGCCACCTGAGCTTGTCATCTGCTAGCTGCTCCTATTTGTAAAGACTGAAGTAAAAATGCATTAAATACTTCTGCCTTCTTTGCATCATTTGTAATTAGATTACCTTCTACATTCTTTAAGGGATCTATGGTTTCTTTGGTTTTCCTCTTGCTTTTGAAATACATATAGAACCCCTTTTCATTGCCTTTCATGTCCTATGCCAGGTGCATTTCAATTCATGACTTGGTCTTCCTAATTTTCTTTCTGAATAATTTTGGCCTTCCTAATTTTTCTCTCCGTGTGAGATACTCTTATATTTTTCTCTAATACTATGGCCAGGCTTCCATTTTTATAGGATTCCTTTTTTTTTAAACATAGTTCAGAGGTGGTTTGTTCTTCACTGTGGGACTGAATGCATCCAAGATTTGCTCAATGCCTTTCTTCCTATCAAATGTTTTACAGGGCAGTGTAATTCTAATGAACTCTGGGGTGTGATTCCTTGAGGACAGCATCCTTACCAGTAGGCTATACACTAGAATAGATGGATGCATTCTCCATTCCTCTGTCATAACTGTGTCACTGTGGCGAAGAAATCAAGATTCATGTGGCAAGAAAGAGAGAGAAAGCAAGAGCAAGCCTGTTGCTGAAGCA